CCCTTATTTTTATATGTATCGGGATCATTAGAATTTATCTATAATGATTTATTATACTTTTCCAGGGCCTCTTTGTATTTTACTTCGTTGAATAATAGGTTTCCTTTTATTTAATTATTTTTACATACCTTCAATTTTTTTTTTTTTTCCAATCTCTTCTTACATTTGGTTCATCATGATTATAACCTCTTTCTCTTTTATCCTTTCGTCCTTATTTACTCTTAACATCATTTTTATTAGTTTATTTTATGTTTAAGATAATTCTTTTTTTTGATCAATTTTTGAATCCACCCACCTTTATAATTATTTTTCACCTTCTAATTTATCAATAACTTTATTAATTTCTGAATTCATTAATGTTTATCCTGTGAGAATCTCAAATAAAATAGCTCCCATTGACCATATGTCGATAGTTAATTCATATTATTACTTTCTTTATGATTTTTTTTCAGGAGCCATGTATATAGCAGTTCCTTAATTAGAAGAAAAATTTTTTTAGTTTAGATCTTTTGCAAAACCAAAATCTGTTAATTTGATAATAATATTCTTATTTTCATCATAACAACAAAAGAAATTTTCTGGTTTTAAGTCTTGATGAACATAATTCAAACTATGTAATTCTATCATTCCTTAATACATCTAATTTATAATACATTGTTCTTACCTAAATGAAGAGTTTATGTTTTTGATATATTTCCAATATTTTAAATTCTTCTCCATCCATATATTCTTTAAAATTGGCCTAAGCAAATTCCATAACTAAAAATGGCTTTAAATATGGTATTAATTCCAATTCACCAAGTTTTATATTTTAAGTCTTATTAGGTTTGAGAATTATTTCATCAATTCTAATAATGTACTTAGAAGGGGTTTTTTATAATTGAAATAAACATTCTATTTCTTGTTCACTTAATTTGTATTTAAATTCCTTCACTGCTACTTTTTGCTTTGTTCCTATAATTTAACCCAAGTACACTTGTCCTTCTGTGCCATCTCCCAATAAATTAAGTTTAATGATATTTTTATTCTTATCATCTGCAACTGGATAGAACATTTTCTAAAATCTTGTCTATTTCTATTAAAAATTAATTATATTAATTAATTCTGATCACTAATGTTAGTATTTAATAATAAGTAAAAAGATAAGTTTATTTTATTTAAGTTGAACTATGATTCCCTCTTTGAATATTGCACAATCATTTTTAATTTTAATTACTCTCAGAAGAAACAAACCTTTTAAAAAATCAGCTTAAATAGATAATTAATTCTTTGAGAATTTTCTGTGAAATTCTAATTTGTTGAACAAAATAGAGAATAATTTAAGTAATTAGAGTACAATTTTTCTAAAGGCTTTAAGAAATCCTTAGAAAACCATGAGAATGATTTGGCAATCTAAAAATAAAAGAAAACATTGTAGGTTATTAAGAATCCAAGAGATCCCTTAGATGATTGTATGATTTTATTAATAAAAGAAATTTTTTGCTTTTTTCAACCTATAAAATATATAACTAAAATAAAAAGAGCCAAATATATTAAATTAATCTTTTAGTATAAATACTTCTTGCATTATTACAAAATAAAAAGTAATGATCCATACAATATCGTAATTATTTTAATTAGTTTAAAATATTTGAAAAAGTGTAGATTTAACTATCTATTTAAAATTGAAAAAAAAATTAAAAAAATTATTTATAATAACCTAATGATGTCGTTAATTACTTACTTATTTATCTTTGATAAATTCACTACATCCATTAGTAGTTGAGATATTATAAAAGTAATGTATTCCAGATATTAATAATTAGTCATTAATGCAACAATGGACATCATATGAATGTACTTATATGAAATATGAACTCGTTAAATCTTAATTTTATGGATTTTTTTTTGAGAATAAAGCTTGTTCGAAAAATGGAAAAAATTGCATTTCAGTTATAATATATTCAAAATAGAAAATTATGACTCCAATTAGAAAAGGTTTGTGTTTAGCCGAACATAAGTTTATTTAAGCAGTTAAAAAAGGTTGAA